TTGACATTTAATAATATGAGAATCCTGTTACATTTTCACAGATATCACTAGAAAGCTTTTACTAAAAGAAAATTTTAGGAGAGTTTTTATAAAATTACATGATGAAAAAAAAAAGCACTCTCACTGATAAATTCGTAATATGTTAAATGAAATTATGCAGAAGTTAATTTTTATTTCTATCCTTAAACATGATGGACTAACTTCATCCTTGTCTCGGTCATATATTACTCAAAAATCTCATGTTTAGTGGGAAAAAGCTGAAAATTCTGAACAAAACCAGGAAAATTAATCAAAGAATGAACTCCATCTCTTCATTCACTTCTACAAATTATTTTTTAAAAGTATCTTTTTAAGTTGTATCTTCTTTTCTGTCATTTGGTAATTCAAATACATCTGATCAAAGCTGGTCAGTCACTAGTCACTTCTATTCTTTGTTAATCAAAGCTGGTCAGTCACTAGTCACTTCTATTCTTTGTTAATAATTAATTAAACATTTTGTAAGGTTAAATAATTCATAGTGGTAAACTTCTATAAACTTGTTCTGATGATTCATCTTTACAAATGAAGGTAATAGGCCTATGAGACCTGTTCTATGTTATGTTAAAGGTTTTTCAAAACCATTTCACATGCCCTTAATATACCGTTCAGCAGCACAGGATATTTTTTAATCAACTGTCAGCTTGAAGTATTCAAGCTAGCACAAAACTTACAGGTGAAATTGATTTTAACTTCAGTATTTTCTGAGTTGATTCTGTTTTATTAGAACAAAACATTCTGTCTCAAAGCAAGAATATTTTCAGTCTTCTGTTTCTCCAGCCCATCTCCCACTGTGTCTAGAAGTACAGCAACTAAAAAAAGTTATGTAAGAGTGAAAAAGTGCCACCGGTTTTGCATGAGTGCATTTGAAGAACTTGGGATTTTGTAGGTAAAATAATTTTCCACCAGAAAAATACAGGGTGGATTCTTCAGTACTCAATCACTCCTCAGTTCTTGGCATCTAAGGAGCCTTTTTAAAAAGCGATTGGATTTCCTCAACCCTTTTGAAGTGCTAACTCAAAGTGAGGAAAAGCAAGTTAGCTTATTTGGCTGATGGAACTCATGAGTCATTTTGGATTCATGACAGTGGACTTCACTTTCAAATTCTTGAAAACACAAAAATATTTTCCTGGTATTATGATATGCCTTTATTTGAAGCTATATGTGGCACAGTTGAGGCTGGTGTGACTAGGGGGTACCAAGCAATGAGTGATGCCTTTGGATGTTTCAGTGCTCATGGCTCAGTCCCATCAGCCCAGAGCTGTTCCCTTTACGGAGTCATCCTCGCTTCTTTTACGGAACCTCCAAGTGTTAAGTTTGTGTTCTTATAGTGCGCGCGTGCCTTATTTGGTTTCTCAAACAGCACTTGTGACCCAATCCCTGTATTTCAAAGAATGCACAAAACTAGCAAGCCTAATTAATCAATTCAGTTGGAAGCCAAGCCATGTTGTCCTGGGAACATCTTGTTCTTGGCTTTCCCAAATGCGTTCCTTCTTTCGATTTCATTTTATGACTGTTTAAAGAGGGGCTGTCCTGTTCTCTCCCCAGTGATTCTGCATCCATGCTACAGAGTTAAAAGCTTTATCATATTTACTAGATGACAACCCAACTCATGCTTATTCCTTTAGCAAAGGAAAGCAGAGTTAACTCAGTCAGGTATTTAAAGACAAGCAGGGAAAATTATCCACCTTCTTCCTCACCACACACATCTTATAACAATAAGCATCTCAAAGCAGCCAGTCTGGACAAGCTTAAAAAGTGCACAACAGAAACTCTTCTTTTATTTTTGAAAATTTGAGATTAATCTGGGGGATTTCAGGGGACCCTAAATACACAATAGTCAGAAATATTTATTTGCAGTATCATGAACATGCTGCTAGAAAAGCAGAACATTTTTCTGTATTGAGACAAGAGTCAGAAAGAAGTTATTTGCCGTTTTGCTGTCTGTACTGATCCCAGCTCACCTATTTCTTTTCTCTTTTTCTTAAAACATTGCAAATATTTTAATATTTATGTTTAATGTTATGAGAGGAAATTTTCTGGAGCAGAATAGCTGAAATGTCTGCAATTATCTCTGTGTCACAGGAAGCGGGAGTTGATTTTCTCTATGAGGTATATAAAGAAGAGGCTCTTTTACTTGGTATCTGTAAAAGCAAACCTTCTGATAAGCAAGTCTGTCACTGGTTTATCACTTCTCATCTTCTTTCAGCTGCTAAAAAAAAAAATAACATGATACAAGAAGAGTGGTTCAATTTTTTCATAGTGGAAAATCAATCAAATGTGGAAAAGCCAACAACTTTAATACCACATCACAAAGATGGAGTGATAGATCATTATCTTGTCATGGTGAACTCCAATGTCAGTAAAGTCTGTATTTGCAAAACAATAACCATCATTTTTAATCGCTGTTGTTGCACTGCTATCTTTATTTTCCTCACATAAAAGACCAAAGTTTAATTTCCTCAATCTGAAAGATAACTGTTTGAATATTATCTAGCATTTTACAACAATTTTTACTGTCTTATCTTCTGTCTACCTTCGTCAGCTTTACCAAATATTTCCCCAGAGAACTGGGGGCTTTTCCAGACATAAATCTCCTGCAATCAGCAGAGTCCAAACTTCTGTCTTTTTTTTGCATAAACAAAGTGATGTTAACAAGTCAGTGGACAAAGACCAGTGCTTTCACTGATTTTATAACTGGGATGAAGTTGTTGAGTTTTGAAGCTGTGTTGTCTCCTTTCCCAGGCAGATATTTACATGCCAGGGTAATCCAACATAGCACAAATGAATAATGCAGAGATTCAGAATAGATATCATCGAGGCTATAAATGTACTGAGAATTCAAAACATTGAACATCATGAGGGACTTATTCTTTGTGGCAAAGTAAAGATTTCTAAAATGCAACAGCAAATTCATTATTAGTTCAGGGATTCATATTATTTGAATAATTAATAATTTTTGGAACATGCTGTGAAATTCCATTGAATGGTACTGTGAGAAGATAAATGCTTTCATTCGAAATTTAAATTGCATGGAGATCAGCCCCTTTAAGGACAAGGTTCAGATCAGTCTAAATATGTCTCTAGCATGTAGGATAAAAAGCTTGACAAAATGTGAGAGGTTTTTTGATGGTCTGTTTGGGATGTTTTCATTTATGGTGGTTTTTTCATACAGGTGTCTCTTACCAATGGTTTGGTAGGTATTCAGATTGTAACCAGTAACTGCTCTTAAGGGAGCCTCAGTTGCCTGCTCAGCTTTTTGCTAAGAAAGAGACTCAAGACACTAAGTAGTACACATACACTGTTTGCCTAACAGTATGCCTACATAAGCTTTTCTTGCTACTTCTTTTTGGGTGGAACAAGTTAATCATAATGTTCTGAATACGAGCACAGAGCAGCAGAGAAATTTATGAACAATATGCAAGTGTGAATTCACCCTGTGTCTAGGATGTAGCTTTATTTTTGGTACCCATACATAAAAGCCTTAAGGACCTGATGATCTTTGAGTAATTGCATGGGTTATATACTTGTGGATAAAAGCAAATCAACTTTTCTCAATCATTCAGTGGTGGTTAGCTGGAATATAAGAATTTCTATGCAGGATGCTGACAGCAAGGATAATTCTGTACATATAGAGGATACTTATCTCCATTTTCTGCAGCTACAGCTCTTACATTCCAATTTTTCAGAGTTTTAAACATTGTCAAGGGCTTAATTGGAAGGAAGTTCTTCCAGAAGGGATTTTTTATTAATCTGAAGTAATTGATTGAATTTTAGGTGATTTCTCTTAGTCCAAGAGAAAAATGAGTGCAAAAAATCAGACATTTTCCAAGAAGATTCCTTGTTAATCTGGGAAAGTTGTGTGAAAGATTTATATTTTGTCTTTGAAAATAGCCTGGAAAAATAATAGCATGTTTCAGAATTAGCAGTTTACTATCTGAACAACCATCACATCACAGTTAATAAAGTTTTTGGAGAGTATCTGAAGTGCTCTAAGATTGCAATGAAATTTAAAATAAAATCTGTATTTGATTTTTGGAGTTTTTTGTAGCAGTATGCATTAAGTCAAATGGTAGCTCTAAGAAAAAGGGATACTCCTTTTTGAAAGTACTTCAAAAATTAAATTAGCAGAGCCTTGCAGAAAGGTACTAGGTAGGTTTAGGGAAGCTTTGGAAGTGAAGAACACTGTGAAGTTCTGTGTTCTCTGAAATTCCTTCCTACAGAGCACAGGCTCAGCAGAACAGCAGCTGTGTATCTAAACTTCACACTGATATATTCTGACCAATATCTCCACAGTTTTTTGGATCAGACTGACAGCTCTTCTGAAGGATTCATAACTGGCCCCTTCATGATGTCTTACTAAGTTTTCAGCAAAACTGTGTCATGGATTTCACCTTAGTTTCCTTGTTTTTTGATCCTTGATCCATTTACACCAAGTAGTTTCTTTAAAATTGGAATATAATCACGCATATATAGATCTGACTTTGTATAAAGGGGCTTATCTATCTGGATCTAAAATTTCAGCACAAATCAATGTCATAGAATGGTTTGGGTTGGAAGAGACTCTAAAGATCATTTAACTCCAACCACCCTTCCATAGGCAGGAATACCTATAGCTTATCTTGTATATCGTTATAGTAAATAGTGCAAAAATCCTTTAAAATGGTAGCCTTAGGTCATTTGTCTTGTATAATTAACATTTTGATCTTATTCTGAGGAAGAATAGAGAGGAATTACCTGTTTGCTTTATATCAAATGGAATTTTAATTAGCTAACAATATGAAAGATTTTTGCCAAGATTAACAAGTACTTCATATCCTGGTTTTAATTTCATGTCCAACAAATTAATACACTTTTGTTGCTTGATATTCACATTCAAATGTAAATGAGTACTTACAAAGGCGTAATATCAAATACCTTTAAACACACCATAAAACAAACTTATTTTTTCTGTTCCTATTTAGTCATCTGTGACTCTTTGGAAGACCATGTTTCTGGAGCTGGCACCAGGTGCCCCCTGGGCTACTTTCCATGTGGCAATATCACAAAGTGTTTGCCCCAGCAGCTGCACTGTAATGGTGAGGATGACTGCGGGAATCGGGCTGACGAAGACAACTGCGGTGAGTGGCTGTGGCTTTGCCTTGTGTCTAGCACCTGTAGTCACTGAAACCCAGGCAGTGCTCACACCCAACAGCAGGCTGTGGAGTGCCAGCAGTGGGAAAGTTACACGCTTTGCAGAGGGTGCAGCAGGTCTGCTTTAGCTGATAAAGCCACCCTCCTTCTCTAGCAAACCATTTGCTAGGGAAAGAAGAGTGGGCCGCATTTTTCTTTGTATATGGTATCAGTTATCAGTATCCAATTTTTTCCCTGCTTTGAGCTTCTCTGTACATGTCATTTTGATGTCTACAAATGGATGTATGTGATCTCTCAAAGAGTGTTAGATGAGGAGTGTTAGATGTGTGCTCCAACAGAATTTATGAAAAGCTTTATGTGACTTAATGCAGGAAATATAATTTAGAAGAATTTTCAAGGTTTTACAGGAATTATTTATGGCCTAATTTGGGAGAAACCTGTGCTTCTGTAAGTGTATTGTGAACGCTGCACTACCAGCAGGCTTTGGTGGTTGGGAATGTGAAAATGCCAGGGTATACCCATAGTCAGGTCTCTTGTGCTTGCTGTTTTGATCCTTGTCATTCCTCGCCCCTCTGGATGGTAGCTGTGATCTTGCCTTGGCTCGTGGGCTCTGGCTTTACCTCTACTGCAAACCAGGAAGGGCTTTGCATGGGCACTCATCTCTCCATGTTGCTTCTTTGTGGGCATAGCCCTGGCACAGCTCTTGTCCATGCTGAGCAGCATCTCCCTTGCAGTGTTTGGACACAGCTCAGAGGTGGCACAGCCCTGGGATAGTCTGGAAAGGGGCCTCTGTGTTCTGTGAAGAGAGAGCTTCACCATTTGATTGTGAGCTAAGACCACAGGGAGAGAAAATGGACCCTTGCACATTTTATTTACTGTTATTGCCACCTTGCTTGCAGCCTGGATATTTCAGAGGTGCTCTCCAGAGCGGCTGATCCATGGCAATGGGGGAAGCAGACTTCCTACTCCTTGGTAGTTTTCCTGTAGCTATGGAGGACAGCCAGGTGCACCATGCCCTGCCCCACACTCTGCCTCCAGCCCCCAGAGCCAAGCAGCTGAACTGTTTGTCTGTCCCAGACAGGCACGTCTGGCATCCAGGCCATCAGATCTGGGAGGGAGGACTGCAAAGAATTAAAATATTAAGTGAAAATTCCATGCTATCTATCCTGAAAGAAATTTTGTGAAAGAAATTTCAAACAAAATATGGTAAAGGTATCTTTCACCAGCACTCTCAGTAAAGTCATTGAGGTTTTGAAAGTAGTTGTTCTCATTGCATGTGAAGCTGCTTTGTGTACCTATGTGAAGTATCTTTTCATTATACCTATGCAATTTCAGGGTCTTACTCCATATGAAAGTGATTTTAAGTTCAAATCCCATATAATGAACCTGCACCATTCTGTAGTTTTATACCATTTGTTGGTGCTATATACCTAGTTTCTGTTGTAAATAATCAAAGTCCTGAACAAAAACTGCTTGCTCTGTTTTTTCTTTAGTCATCTTGACCTACAGCAGCAGGAGTTGCCAATGATGATGCCCTCTCATGTTTAAGAAGTCCAAGGACAATAAACAGTTGCTTTATCCATATTTCATTTCTGTATAATACCACAAAGTCTATTGTACAAGGACTTGCTGAAAGATACAGCTTAGTATGATAATAATTAGGATATATACAGTTTTGTAATGGGAGTTACAAGACAGTATAGGATCATAGAATTTTTTAGGTAGGAAAAGAAATTTAAGATCATTGAGACCATTAATCAAAGAGCTCTTTGCATTTCATCTTATTACTAACACAGAACTGAGGTATTCTTGGATTATGAATAACCAATTTCGAAAATTCAATTAGAAGTAACATGGGTTGTCAGTGAGCAGGGAGAGTGCTGCAAGTGATTTAATACTGAACCCTGAAGCAATGAATAAAAAAATCCTTAGTAATGCCTTAGTGTTCTTCTATAGAAATGAACATACAAAACAATTCAGCTGTGATATTGAATCCTCTTCTGTGTATTGTAATTCAAGAATGAGCTAGCCTTGATTTTTGAAAACCTAAATTACAAAAGATGAAGGGTCATTGTATGGATCTACAGGGAAAAACTATGCTGCTCATATTTTTCTCATATTTTGACCCCCTCTTCTCATTTAGAAATGCATTAGTGAAATATGCAGCAGGAATGTTTTCTCAGAAATTGATATTGCAGTCATACTTTGTTGTATAGTTAAAAAGTGTCTTCCTTCTCTGAGTATAGGGAATGTTCTGAGGAGATTTTCTGCAATGACTCCACACATGGGAAGTGGGGAGATTTTTGTGGGGTAACTCTGGTTTTGATTATTCATCTCGCTTAAATTCCAAGAAAAGAGGCCTCAATGTTCCTGAGACAGAGAAACCAGATGCCTTTTCTTTCTCCCCTGCCATTCCTAGGATCACTTCAGGATGCCTGCCTCATGCCAGCAGTTATGTCTGGCTCGTCTCCCCATTTTTTTAAAATTTACAACTAGTTTTCAGTTAAAGTCATTGCTCTTGGTTACAGAAAAGAAATTAAAAATGAAATTATGCCAGTGTAGTAATTGTTTCATTCAGTGCCATAGAAATTTTAATCTTATGTATGAGGTATTCTAATTAAATAACTGAGCTTCTCAATTCCTGAGCACTTTTGCATCAATGTGGGGAACTTGGAGGTGACCAGTCTACAGGATTCAACCCAACAAGTGTGGGAGGCAAAAACATCTGTGAAGACCCTCAAAGCAGTTAAAAAATACCCCCCTTTTTTGCTGTTTTTAGTACATATATTTCAAACAAAGCTAGGTAAACCAAGTGTTTCACTAACAGTAATGGTAAAACACCATCTTAAGTCTATAGTAAAAGCAGCTGTATAGCATGGAAACACAAAGCAAAATATGTCATTAGGTGTTTCACTCCAACTATCTTGTAGTGGTTCCTTTCTTCTTTTAGTGAACAAATTTGTCTCATTCCCCATTTTATTTCTAAAAGGAAATTATAGTTGCAATCTTTGTAAGATTATATTTGTAAGAAATTATTGTTGTAAGAAATTTTTGCTGAAGTCTCTGAGATTATTTGCAGTATCAATCCCGTTTCAGGCACTGTGTGCCTGGTAACAGCAAAAGATGATTATGAATATTTCAAACTAAACCAAATCCACACCAAGACATGTGTTTTCAAATGTGCTGTGATCACTGCTCATTATCCAGTTTAGGCACACAAAGATTGGCTTTGTGGTGCCTCCTTCAATTCTACTTCCTCTTTCATTTCCACCTTCCTTTCGACTTCCAAGTAGTAAACATAAAAATAAGGTCCAGAGTAGTGAAGATCTCAAATTAAGATCAAAGGTAGAGTTGGGAACAGACTCAGAGTGCTGTGTTAGTGCTTAACCTCAGGGTGTGGATATCCTAGCTCTTCTTCAGCATTTCTTCCACTTCTGGAAAGGAATGAATTATAGCTGATATTTCACACTAGAGTGAAGCCACTCATCTTTGAAAATTCATGCCTTTGCCACTTAGCATGCTTTCCAAAATCAATAAAATACTGTGTGCTTTGCCCTAATGGCGAAGAGCTTGAGGCAATGTAGTAAACTGCAATAAGAGGAGGCAGCTGGCAATTTATCCCTGCAGTGATGGGAGGCTCTGCTTGAACTACGGCTGGATAACCTTAAATGTGCATGGAAAATGTAATCTCACCTTTTGAACTCAAAAGCATAGTACACCAAGAGGAACCAAGCATCTCAGCAGATCTGTCATGAAAATAATATTTTTAAATAAAAATAGTTTAAAGTTTTGTAATTTGTCATAAAGCTTATGGTTTTGAGGAATTTCCTTTTTTAGGCTCAAGAGAGCAGTAAATTTTACTCTGCTGTCCTGCTCCATGCTCATCCTTGCTGAAGTACCGAGTTCTTAATTAGGCTGAGGGCATTGTGAGGCAATTTAGCCTCTATCATGTTTCACTTGGAGTTATTTTTGCATCTATTTGCGAAATTCAAAATGTGTAGGGAAATAAGAGATAGCAATTTCAGCATCCTTCTGCGCCCAAGCTTGTTTAAAGATGAAGTTGGCAAAGCAGAGCAGATATTGTTTAGATCTAGTGTCTTTGATTTCAAACATAATGGCTTCAGCCTGATTTTACAGGGAAGAGCTTTTCCCATTTATTTACAGCTGGAAGGTTTGAATCTGTAGTTACTTGGCATTTATAGATGGGGGTTAGAAGTTCTGTTGACTGCATTGCTTTTTAAACCTGAGCAAGGTTAAATAGGCATAATCACAAATTCTGCTCACATCATGCAGTGGCAGTGTTGACATGGAAATTGTTCCTAAAATAAGTAACAAATATTTCTCGCACTGAAGACACTACTGCTGCAATATGACTGTTAATGCAGTCTAAACAATCTCTAGGCAAACTCTGTGATGTCCAGTGGCATGTTAAACATGCCAGGTATGTATTCCCAAATACAAATTCATGGAAAGAAGAGTTTTGAGATCTCTGCCTTCACAGTGATGTTTAATGATGAAACAAAAACAAAGCTAACAATAGATAAAAGTAACAGTTGATTAATGCAAAGCAAAAATAACAGAACGATACTTACGATGCAGATTTGCAGTGAGCCTACGTGTTTTTCCTCATTACAAGATGTGTGTTTCTTTTGATGAACAATCTTGACACGCAAAATATTGGGGAAAAAAAAAGTTAATCATAATATAAATGTACTCCATGCATTTGGAAGACAGCTAACACTGCCAGTAATGATCCATGGATATTTCTGTTTTAAAAATATCTAGAATAGCTTTAGACACAAAAAAGTTCTTTCATATGCTCCTAATTAAATATTTAAATTTTAAATCTTACACTTTTTTCTTTTTCTTTTAATTCTCTGATTTTTTTTTCCTAGATAAGAGTCAGCTTTCCCTGACTAAAATTGTCCTACTATTGATTGCAGTGATAAAAGAGCAAAGTTCTCAATCAAACAAGTTTTGTGTAATT